TTTGTGAATGACAAAATAAAGCTTAAGCCCAGAATACCACCACTCAAGATGGCCAGGGGCCTAACAACTATCACTATGGATACCGCGAACGCTCTACGCTTGCAGTTTGGATCGGTAGCAACGAATACCATGGAATCTTCGCCTTATCAACTCCCAACAAATATCGTTGGCTTATCCAGCGTCACCTTTACTCCAACAGCTGTTGCAAGCAAATTACAGTCTCTCCGGGAGTGAAGTGCCCCTGGAATCGACATGATCTGCCCAAAAGTATTGAAAACCCTTTACCCTATCATAGCAGCGCAACTTGCAACCTTTTTCCAGAGTCTGCTTAACTCCCATACACTCCTATCTGAGTGGAAAAATGGAATTATCATTCCACTATGCGAAGGAGGTAAGCGATCGGATCGTGCCAACTACCGACCTATTACCCTCCTTCCTGTTTTATCAAAAGTGATGGAATCGGTAGTCACAGATTAACTGACGCGATACATTGAAAGTCTACAAATAATTTCTAATGTCCAACATGGTTTCAGACGCAGACGATCTTGTCTCACCAATTTACTGCTTACTCGGAACTCATGGACCAGGGCGGCTGATGAAGGAGTCCCCATAGATGTGATTTACTTGGATTTTTCCAAAGCATTCGACAGGGTCAATCACTTCTTTCTCCTCCAAAAGCTTGCTGCCTACGGTATCAACGGTTCCTTGCTCACCTGGTTAGAGGACTACTTACACGACAGAGCAATCAAGGTAAGAGTAGCCGACACTCACTCTGCAAGCCTGTGCGTCTCCAGTGGTGTGCCACAAGGATCCGTCCTCGGCCTTCTACTGTTTTTAGTCTACATTAATGACCTTCCAGCAAACATTCTATCCCCAATGCAAATATTTTCAGACGATGCTAAAATATGGGGAGCAATTTGCTCAGCATCCGACCGTGTCTACCTCCAGGAACAGCTGACTCGGATTAACGAATGAGCAGAATAGAACCAGCTCCCAATGAACCCTGCAAAGTGCTACCTGCTGACGGTGCGCAGCAGCTTCGTCAACACATACCTTTTGGGGCAACACGTCCTACAACAAGTGACTAGTGAACGCGACTTAGGTATAACAGTGCAAGAGAGTCTTGGCAGTTCGCTCCAATGTTCGAAAGCAGCAAGTGTGGCGAACTTGAACTTGAGACTTTTGAGGCGGGCTCTCGGCACCTTTGAGCGACAGCTAGTACCAATGCTGATTAACTGCCATATTCGTCCTCACGTTGTATATGCAATTCAGGCCTGGTGTCCATGGTTAAAACGAGACATTCGTCTATTGGAACAACCCCAAAGAAGAGCCACTAAGGCAACGCGTGGACTATCCGGTCTAAGTTACGAACTGCGTCTTCGTGTACTCTATGTGTTCTCATCATCGCGCAGATCTTACTCTCACATACCGGATACTAAGTGAAAGCGAGCATCCATGTACATCACCGTTGACCCTAGCATCTTGCAAACAATGTCAATGCAACTACCAGCAATTAATGGCGCATCACTCCCCTCTGAATTGTAGAAAGTATTTTCACTCACTTAGAATCTGTTCTCACTGAAATGCATTACCAAGCTATGTGGTGAAGGCACCAGACATGACGACATTCCAAAGACTCTTAGACTTTTATCTTAGTGATAAACACTACACACAACTTTTATAAAGTGCAATGGCTAACCCCTGATACTTCCCGTTTCATGTTGGAACATTTTGCTTTTAAGCTGCTTTTTCGTATCCATCCTGTGGGTCATGTAAAGTTATGCTTTTTATCCCATCAAAACCTATCGAACTATTGAACTATTGATAAATCAGAACTACACCAATCTCCTCATTACAAGTGATTCCAATCTCCATGATCTGGAAACTGCAACAATTGAGGCGGCACAGTTCAAGACTTAATTGCACATGTTAATCTCTAGCACACTCCTATACAACCACGTCAACGCTCTTACCAAGTTCAGAACAGCGAATAAGCTATCAATGTTATACCTAGCGCTCACCAGCGAGGAGCTCATGGTTGATAGGCTAAACGTATGCAGTCCTTTGAGTCGAAGCGCTCACATGATTTTACGGCTCGATTATATTTGCTACGCCGAATATACCGTTGCAGAGCCCGGTACGATGAAATCTATTACGCATTATCACGTTCTGTCTGCATTTGTTGAAAATGCTAGTTGGCCATTCATGACTGAGTGCACCGCAGTAATAGCCTGGGAAACACACAATATCTCGGAATAAACTTGAAACCCACTGGGATTTCGTGCTTTCAGAAGGTTTGAATACAAATCGGTAATTTCTAAGTTTTTATTTTGATAGGCTTTTACCTGAAATACCCCTTGCATCAAGAGCAAAACGTTGCCAAAATAAAAATCTACAAAAAACCGATTTCTATTCAAAACCCTTTGAAATCTTGGATAACCTAGTTGAAAACCTCCACGTCACTGGTCAGAAAAGCAACAGAGCCTAAATCTTACCACGGTTTCAGCAAACTAAAATTCTTTCTGCTAAGCCACATACGAAAATTTATGGTTTGAGGGATCGAGCATGGCACGTTTACAAAATCAATCCCAGATCCGAATACTGGACAGCATACATAGCTCAGCGCAACTACTCTCTGAAGTTGGTTCATGAAGACAAGTTATCACAATAACAGAAGCTAACGAAACGATTCTGTTCAAACCACACGCTTCCTTACAAACACGTGGATATACTTCCTGACTTGCTGCGCGGAATCCCACCACTCACTACGGTTGGTGGTTATAATTGCACAGAGAAAGAGATGGCCAACACCTTATGGGCCCTGTATTCACTTACTTTCTAAGAAGTTCAAGTTTCGAACGCTATTCCTGCTTCAGCCAATACCTCATCAATTTTATCCAACATCAAATTCACAGCACAAGTACTGCTGAATAAGCTAGTATCCTTGCGCGCACTCAGCTGTCCTGGTTTGGATAACGTTCAGCCTAAAGCACTACAGGCAGTAGCCCTGCACCTAGCCCGACCACTTGCTGGATTCTTTCAGCGTCGTCCAGACGAATATATAGTTTCGTCCAAGTGGAAACGGGGTATTATAACACCCATACACAAATGAAGAAGTCGTGCTGATTCTGCCAATTACCGCCCAGTAACGCTTCTCTCTGTGCTCCCCAAAGTAAAGGAAGCGATCATCGCGGACGTACTGATGGGCTACCTGGAAAGCTACGACATCATTACGCTGGAGCAGCACGGGTTTCGTCAACATCGAGTGTTTATCACGAATCTGCCAAAAGCAGTTGACAACTGGACCGAAACAGCCAATGAGAGGACAGGAACCTATGTTGTCTGCATGGACATTTCTAAAGCCTTCGATAGTTTGGATCATCGAACCCTGTTTCACAAACTGCAGCTCTACGGTGTTGACGATCCAGTACTATGGTGGATTGGTAATTTTATCCGTGAACGGCAATTGGAAAGTAGAGTCGGAACATTTCTATCCGACCCATATCGAATAGAGTGGGGCATACCTCAGGGTTCGGTACTTGGACCTCGCTTGTGCATAGTTTACATCAACGATCTAGCGAGAGCAATCGCCTCAAAATTTTTACTTTGCGCACATGACGTTACAATGTTGGTAGGCGATCAAGGGAATGAATGAACACAAGATCCTCCAGCGCGATCTTGAGGAAGCCTGGCATTGGTCGATGAAGAATGCGCTGCCATCTAATGTGGACAAGTGTCACGTTTTCCACACCCGTCCTCGACACGCTATCTCTACCAACTTGGGGCGCAGGATCTGTAGAAAACCCTCAGGAATGGGACCTCGATGCGCTGGTACAGGATGACCGCGGTTTTTCCAGACAGTTAGAATCCGCTTCAAAAAGTAGTAACCGGCATTTTGGTCTTTTGGGGAGGCTATTTGGGAGTTTGGATTCAACCATGTTCTCTCTGATGCTCAATGCCACCTGCGTCCCCACGTTGAATACGCAATCCAGATTTGGTATCCTTGGCTAAAGTGTGAGCTTGCAGCGCGTAAAACTCCCCAACGTTGAGCAACAAAATCTGTCAAGGGATAGAGTAACTTTGCGTACCAGCAACGATTGAAGACGCTCGGAATGTTCAGTGGACGCTACCGGCAGTCATGTGGAGACCTCCTATTAGTTTACCAAATACTGAGCGATCTCATTCAAGTATGCCGCCACCTACTGAAACTCAGCCCGAAAACTAACCTCGGTGGAAATAGCTTGAAATTGCATCAACAGCACCTTTATCTAGATTGTCGACGAAATTACCTCTCCCTCCGCGTCTACAAATCCTGGAACACTCTTCCAAACTCAGTTGTCTGTGCCCCCACATTAGCTGTTTTACAAAAACGATTGAATAGCGAATTAAGTTCCTTGTATTTTGTTACGTGGACGGATATTCTAGATATATTCAGACTAACCAGCCTGCTTGGAATTATGACCCAAACTGACGCACATAAAGCATGCAGATGGGTGAGCAATTTGCCAGGTATTAACAGTGGGTATTAAACGTGAAACTTGTTGTTTCGTCTTAGCTGTTACTTTCTCACTCGCACAATCCTCCTTCTATATGCTAGTACTCTATGTTGTACCGTTGTGCATTTTCTGTGATCCACTTATGAAATGTTTGAATCACAATTTCTTCTATTACCAGCCTAATGGACATGTTAAGTCTGTTTTCAACCGTTATAAACCATTGCTCCATCGCCGGACCCACAGGACACTTACTAAGCGGACCACGCTCACTAAAGATTTGGTAGCAAACCGATCCTAGCATGAGTCATGCTAATCAAGTGTACTAACGCACACGGAGTGATGTCGGTGCATTTAACCAAATAACTGAACTGCTCTAACTTGTTCGATGATTCCGAAAGCGCACTGTAGTCCTACTCTATTACCTTGGTTAACAACTAACAGTGGTGTCGCTTTGAGGATATGTGACATAAACAAGAACACTGCGGTAAAATCGACGTGACTTACCTGGCTGAGTACGGCACATATTCAGGTCGCTCGTGTTCGACAGAATCTGAAGCAAAAAAGAGTAGTCAGCCCAAGCCATAGATGACGATATCTCTAGGTATACACTATACCTGCCTATATAATGTGCCGAAGTTGCGCATCTACACTGTGTAATTCAGCGGGTGCGACGCGTTCGAAATACACTAAAACTGCAGGCTAAGCAGGGCTAGTAGATTTAACAGTCTTTAGATTTGTGAAAACCACGGTGACCAGTCATCTTCGGTTTGAAAACTTCTCAATGTCTACGAACTAACCTCACTGCCGGGCTTATTGCATGTTGGCCAACTATCAGCAGCGGAACTGTGGTATTTATTCACTCCAAGACCAATAAACCGGGTACTTAAGGGAATAAATACCGTCGCTTTATCAGAGCGGATCCCCCTATGCCTCTTTGAGAAGCTAGTCGTGTTGCACCTTCTGAACCTTTCCATCTAGACCAGTTTCAGCTTGGCTGAGCTCTTCGACGTCTAGTTAGGAGCAAAATAACTGATCACGGTCCATCAAAAATTAGCGGTTAGTGAAATCAATCGAGTCAACCAACAGCTTCCCACAACTGGGATTAGAGGTTACTTAAGTTGGTGTTAAAACTTAGAAGTCATGACTGGATGGTGATTTGAAAGCCAGTACCGCATTCCATCGCGACGGTAAGCTGCTTTTGTAGAAACAAAAGCTCATACGTCTGTGCCAAAAGTTGTTACTTTTTAGCATGGCGAATCGAAAATTACTATGTAGTAGATTCGGTGGAATAAAAGTCCGGATTCCAACCCACCATGGACTTTTGCAGTTTGGAGGCTGGTATTCTTCAAAAGAGGCATCCATGTTCATTGAAGCGGAATAACACCTCAAGAGATCAATGATATAAGTATTTCCCTCTGACTGCTAGTGATAAACAAAATCGGTAGTGGACAAGAAAGCCATACCGTGGGGCTGCGCAATTGGGAGCCTGGGATGTACAGTATATCGTAATAATCTGCTCCGGGGCTAGGAGCGGCTGCACTCAGGTGCTGACGTACACCGGTACGCTAAATGACCAACTATCCACCGGCGTAAATTGCTTTGCCGACGGGGGTGAGATGGGACACAGACGCAACATGTGTGCCTATGATCGCAGCGCACACCGAGCCGTTCGGTTGTGGAGGTGAACGTAAGCCAACACCACAGCTGCAATTGCCCTGTCATGCGTGGATCGCAGGGCAAGACCAAGGGAACGCACACTGTTCGGCCGTGAGGACTGAACTTTAGCCAGACACTACAGCCTCAATGCATGCGCAATGCCTCGACTACAAGGCAAGACCAAGGGGACGCACGCCGTTCGGCCGTGAGGACTGAACGTTAACCAACACCACAGCCTCAATCGACCTGTCATGCGTAGATCGCGGGTCAAGACCAAGGGAATACAGTCGTTCGGCTATGAGCACTGAATGTGAGCCAAGCACCAGATAGCCGCACTAAACGCGTTATGTTTCGATCGCTCGGTAGTCGGCCTTCAAGCCGATGAAATGCCAGAAAAATGGGTTCTCTGTGAAGTGGTTAGTGAGTTGCTGTGCTGGCAATGGAGATGGAGCTTACACCCGGGTCGTCGATGTATTAGCAACCGCAGTCACGTAACGTGCCGGTCCATCAGCACGTGGTCACTGTGCAGCTGTATGGTGAGTGTGGATCCAATGCGGTTGAAACAACAAGGCGCTAACATAGCATACACCGCATTAAGCGGCCCGTTAACGAGCGGTATGTGCATCAAGTGATGAAGCAATTTGCAGAAACTAGCAGCGCTTGCAACACCAAACAAACCGGACGGTCCCGCACCGTCACGGATGAAATAGCAGCTTGAGCGGTTGCGCGGGAGGTGTGTAGTAACAGACGTCTCAGCATTTGGCAACTCGCACAACATTGCGAAACCACACGGTAAGCTGTGCACAGGATATTAAAGGAAAAGAATTTCCGACGGTACAGTGTTCTGCAGGTGCAAGTCTTGAACACATTCAAATTCGCAGAAGCGCTTCGAATTTGCCCGTTTGATTTTTGAACAGTCTGAATGTGCATTCCATTTTGTTTACAAATGAGGCTGTTTTCCCCCTGCATGGCCAAGAAACGCAACAGGTTTGGGCAACAACCAACCCCTGGTAACGTAGCACTTCACGTGTGTAACATAGTACGAAGCTCATGGCCTGGGATGGGTTGACTGGTCGAAGAATCATTGGGTATTTTTTCGTTTACCGGAATGTTTCCGGTAGCTTGTTGTTTAACAGTACTAATGTCTGACATTCATCAGCATTCTCGTACATAAAAACGTTTCGGAGCAGCTTCATTCCGCAGGTGCAGTCGGAAGGTTTAATGAACAACGTTTGGTGGCACCAGGATGGAGCACCTGCACATTCGGCGCAATCGGTTCGTTTCTACCTGAACAAGATATTTGGTGGACGTTGGAAGGGTGGCGAAGGACCGATAGAATGGTCTGCGGGATCACCGGATTTGAATCCCATGGACTTTATCCCATGGGGATACTTGAAACGCAGAGTTTATAGAACGAAACCCAATAAAATGGATGAAATGAAATGAACCTTGTAAACGAATGTAAGCAGATTCCGTTGGAGATGCTACATAAAGTGCTTACCAAAACCATCCGACGCATGCTTCTCTGTAGCCAAAACGACGGAGGGCACTTCGAACATCTACTTCGTTGATATTCACAGATATGTCACCTTTTCCACGTAAATATATGTGAAGAAATGAATAAGTGTATATTCGCGATCGTACATGGGAGAAACCATCGAAGGCCTGATTATTTGGTACAACTAGCAATGGTCTGACTGTGCGAGCATTCATTGTATTCATGACTAAATTATTATGCTGTCTAATGGTGCCACTATTTCGTCGGAGCGGACTGAAACCTAAGAGTCTCGTCACGTCAAGTCAGGAATTCGTTTTATACATCCATGAAGGGTGAATTTTCAACTGTAACACACACATGATCGAAACAGTAAAGAGAACAACACTGTAACCTTACAATGTGCTCCTGGCAGTATGATTCCCTGTAACAGCGAAAGCAGCCTACTAAAAGCTTACGGGTTTGTTGGAAGCTAGTCATGTGAAGAGGACAGCTTTGTGGCGATAGCAATACGACCAGGCTGATTTTCTTTATTGCTAGCCCATCGACTCACTAACCACTTCACAGAGAACCCATTTTTCTGGCATTTCATCGGCGTGAAGACCGACTACCGAGCGATCGAAACATAACGCGTTTAGTGCGGCTATCTGGTGCTTGGCTCACATCCAGTGCTCATAGCCGAACGACTGTATTCCCTTGGTCTTGCCCCGCGATCTACGCATGACAGGTCGATTGAGGTTGTGGTGTTGGTTAACGTTCAGTCCTCACGGCCGAACGGCGTGCGTCCCCTTGGTCTTGCCCTGCGATCCACGCATGACAGGGCAATTGCAGCTGTGGTGTTGGCTTACGTTCACCTCCACAACCGAACGGCTCGGTGTGCGCTGCGATCATAGGCACACATGTTGCGTCTGTGTCCCATCTCACCCCCGTCGGCAAAGCAATTTACGCCGGTGGATAGTTGGTCATTTAGCGTACCGGTGTACGTCAGCACCTGAGTGCAGCCGCTCCTAGCCCCGGAGCAGATTATTACGACACCGCGTACCACGGTGGGGAATACCACCCGGTTTGGGACCTATTGACGGTGCAAGCACGGAAAAAGTACTGAGTGATGCAGAAAGATGCACCGACTGTTACTTGGTGAACAACTTAACGTAACAGATTAATGTTAGACGTTGTTCATCCCAACGCAGCGCTCCACGACCACTTTACACAAGCCTGGAGCCTTCAGGTTTTAGCAGCCTACATGGTAACTGAACACGAGGCTTACAATTTGCGTACACAATCGCGATCCGCCAGTGACCGCTGTTATATCGACTGATGGCAGGTTATTGATCTGCTTGAAGCACCCGATCCTGAAGTACAATGTTGCTGACAGGTAACAAGCGACTTTATTATGTTTCAGTCGCGGTTCTATTAACTGTGCTGATCGGCGTTTTCTTCCAAAGCCACGATGGTCCAGATGAAGACTGTGTGGCACAGTCCATGCATGCAGGGGATACTTCAAATAAAACCAAGTATGAGTTGCCTAAGTCTTGCGGCTACTGGGTATAAAACCTTCGATTGTGTCTCTTGAAGCATGCAGCTTTTACCACCCTTTATAAAAACAATTGTGCTCATCCTGTGAGTGAGCTTATGTGCAATTTTCACAACAAGTAATAAAACAACCCTTGTGGTTGACGATTTGTTGTCATCATTTATATGTCATACTTGACCACGTTGGTTTTATGCTTCTGCCTTTCATGAGATCTGTTTCCGGTATGCTAAGATTCAGCCAAGTAGGTAGATCTCTTGGATGTGCTGCTGATAGAATGGCTCATGGTTTGTTGCATCTTCGGATAAGTGTTACAGTAAGAAGTCTCCAGTATGCCTAAGCATGTTTTGTCCATTGCTGTTTCCTTAATTATCAGCGGGACGTGGGTGTATCCATGAATCGTAACACCAATACCCTTGTCTCTATTTTGTCATTTCGATGTTCCTCGATGTAGGCCCAACGTCGGCATGCGAAATCGACTGTACTAGAGCCCGTTAGCAAGATAACACAATCCCTACCTAATTCTCAAGGCTGACCACCAAAGAGGTCTTCGTCTCATGTACAGCGTACTGCTATCCCTTGACGATAGGGCAATTGCACTGTAAATAGCTGTAACTGTGCCGGAAACATGTTATAACTGTCCAGTTGGTTCATTTGTTGTTGTCGATATTAAAGTTACGTTGCTAGATGTGTACACAGGTCAACTTCTGTGTGTGTTTCGAAACCCTAATTTTACTTTTCTTACATCACACCGAGTGACGTTGCTCCATACAACTTAGAATCGCGCATTTTCAGCTGCCTTTGCATCCATCAGCGTTTCAACCAATGCATAGTGTGGGCACCAAATGTGTGTAATTTCACAGATTCT